TTGTTCCTCGACCACCATGTCCCGTCGTCTCGACATCTCGTCGCTGCTCTGCGACGAGCCCCCACCCTCCAAAGACCCGCCGCGGCCAGAGCCCCAGGTCGTCGCAGAGACCGTCCTCCTTGCCCCGCACCTCCGCAAGCCAACGGGCCCAAGTCCGAGATATGACCCTCCGAGGTCCGCCCACGGGCAGCAGGCCCCGCCCACAGAGCACGCCCTCGACACCCTCGCCCGTGCTGCAGCCCTTGCCGAGAAACACCGCGATCATCGTCCCGAGCCGTCCTTTGCCCGCACCCCGTCGCGCGAATCCCATCTCCTCCTCAGCCCCGTCGATGACCACCATCGGCACCGCGCCGTCCCCCAGTTCGCCCATATGCCCCCACCGTCCAGACTCGTCCTTGAGCAGCAGCAGCAGCACCAGCACCAGCACCATCTCCGTCTCCTCCAGCAGCAGCAGCATCACCAGCAGCAGGAGACCGCCCGCCTGCGTGACCAGCACGAGCAGATGGTCCGCCAGCAGGCCCACTGGGACCACGAGCGTGGACGCGTCGTCGACGTGATGCTCGATATGCGTCCCGGGCGCAAGTCCGACCCGGGCCAGATGCGCCCCCTCACCAGCCCCGCCCCCGCCCATATGTCATCCCACATCGCCCACATGGAGCCCCCGAACAAGAGACGCCGCTACTCTGATTCCCCGGGACCCCTTCCCCCGGCCTCCAATGGCTTTGAGTGGGAGCGCACCAGCTCGCTTACGCGTCCCGGCGACCGAAGCATCCTCAACCCTGAGGTCGAGTTTGGCCGCCCGGACCTCACCTCGCGCCGGCCGTCGTCGAGCTCCAGCCACGGCTCCCCCCCGTTCGGCTTTCCCCACCGCCAGCGCGTGACCGAGTCGTCGGTTTTGGAAAGGCATGCGGTTGTTGGACAGATGGACGGCAGGATCCAAAGCCCCCCCTTTCCCCCGCCAGGGAGACGGTCTCCCGGCAGTTTATCCGCGCGGGCCAAGGCGCGGAAATCCGACCCCGACGAGTCTGACGTGATCCCGCATGCAGCGGAGCGCAGAGATTACACCACTGTCATCCATTTGCCGGAGAGAGGGAGGGAGGAATATGTCGTCCAGGACGACAGAAAGCACAGAAAATCCCACTCGCAATCCCATCCCCATCCCCATCTGCTATCGCGTCCCGTCGAATATAATAGTCCGGTACCCGGAACCAGTCGCCGCCCCGAACAGCAGCAACAGCAGCAACAGGATACTCGCCCGCACGGCCCTCCACAGCGGCGTCCTCAACCGCCGCCACCGACGCGTCAGCCGAAAGAAGAAGATGCGCACGAGTGGTTATTAGAGCATTTTGCCGACCCTGCTCCCGACCCTCATCCAAGGCGCAAACCCGAGCCAGCAATGACCCCTTTGCCTGCGCCACCATTGTACAAGAGTCAAAGCCCGGTTCACACAAAGCAGGCCGCCACTTCACCCTTGGTTCCTGCCACCATGCCGGAGGCTGCCGTAGCTCTTGAGCAAGAGCTTGCTTCCGTCCACGTCCCCGCCACGAGCAAGGAGGAGCCCACGCAGGACGGGATGGACGTCGATATGGCTGTCTCGGAACTCGTGAAGGAGACGATAGAGACCAGCAAGCAGGCGCTCGGAGGGATGGAGGTCGACGTCGAGGATGAGTTACTGAGCTTGATCGATGGGCGTCCTCGGTCGCGGTCCACCACCCGTGCTCCGAGTGTGAGCCGCGCGCTCGCGGGCGGTAGCAGCAAGCCTCCGCTGCGGCTGCAAAGTGGCAATGAACCGCGTTCGCGCCATGGCTCCCCCATGGCATCGGCGTCGTCTCCCTCCTCCTTCATGTCCCCGGGCTTGCGTGCGTCCTCCATGCTTCCTCCGTCCGAACGCGGGTCAATGCCACCTCCGGCATCCACCGCTACAGGGCAAGGTAAGAGCAAAGAGTCTGCGTCACGAAAGAAGGACACGACCGCCAAGGTGCGCATGACGAAATTTGTTGCACCTCAAAACCTAAACTCACATTGTTCACAGCCTGCTCCAAAGTCCAAGGCACCTGCCGCCGCCAAACCGCGCGCGAGGCCAGCTGCAAAACCGAAAGCCAAAGCCTCGGATGCGGCCCCCGGTGCCGGGCCTGCTGCAAAGGCTAAAGCACCCTCCGCCATATCTCGGAAGAGTGGCTCGGTGGCAGCGTCCGCATCCCGCTCTCGTTCCACCTCCGTCATGCCCGGCGGTTCTGTAGGGCCAGACGGATCAGAGAAGCCAGAGGACGAGGAGGAGGAGGCTGTCGTGGCTGCCGAGGACGACAAATTGTATTGTGTTTGCAAGACCAAGTACGATGAGGACCGGTTCATGATTGCTTGCGACAAGTGCGTCTCTGCCGCTTTCCTTCTTTCTTCAGTTGTTGATCTCGATGCGCTGCAGGTGCGACGAGTGGTATCACACTCAATGCGTCGACATGCCAGATCTAGTCGTGGATCTGGTAGATCAATTTTTTTGCCCGCTCTGTATCGAGAGTGCGTTGCATTACTTGCCATTACATGTGCCTTTGCCTTACCGTCACACAGAAAACCCCAACCTCTCGCTCAAGACTACGTACAAGCCCCGCTGCCGCTATGGCCTCGATCATCCCGAACCAGACTCGCCCAAAGCATGTCATAAGCCTGCGCAAGGGGCTTTTTCAAAGTACTGCTCCCACGAGTGCGGGATGAACAACATAAAGAAGCGTATTGATACCTTTGCAAAGAACGGGGGGAAGAAGGAGTTGCTCTGGGACAGCGTCAAGGATGCACAGCGGCGGGAGGCGGTCGTGATCGTCCACGGGGAGGATATGGCGGACGAGACCACTGACGGCTGCATGAAGGAGAACGCCGACGCTGTCCCACTGCCCGTTGTGACTCCGCGCGTGAAGCCGCCGAGCATGGGCAAGGTCGAACGGGAGGTCGCGAGCCTGAACGCGGTGTTGGATGAGATCGTGACTCTGCGGGAGGACCTGAAGGAGGGGATGGACATTGTTCTTTGGCGGGAGAGGCTGCTCGAGCTTGCAAGCGAACGCGCCGAGCAAGTCAGCCAATGCGGGTGGGACCAGCGTCTGTGTTTTGGGGACGACGAGTGGGCAGACTTTGGCGCGGGTGTCTTGGACAGCTATGAAGACGGCGGAAAGGAGGGTGCAATGCAGGTCGACGGAGCGCCAGATCCCGAGGAGTGGTGGTGTGTCGGGAGCGAGAAATGCGAACGCCACGCTGGGTACGTTTGTACGCTTTCATTGCGATGCTATCGCTGACAGAAACCACAGCTGGCAGGCTATTCGTGGCCACGACATTGCAAAGGAGAAGGAGAAGAAGGAGGAAGCACTCTACAGGCTCACCACCAGGGAACGTGAAATCCGTAAACGCATCGAGGACATTGTCGAGCCCTACAACCGCTCCCGCTGTCTCGATCCTGGAGCCGCTCCCCTCAAATCATCCAAGCTTGTCAACGGCAGCGCGAAAGGGAAAACGAACGGGGACAACAAGAAGGGCAAGAAGAGGAAGAACCCGTCCTGATTCCGCTATATTTTTATTCCATTCCTCGTCGTTCCCTGACCATTCTGCATTCTTTTTGTTCGCTATCTTCGGTGAAACCAGCTTTCGAATGTATTGCATATCTTGTTTTGTTGTAGCATTGTCTCCGCCGCCAAAGAATACAGTAATAGCGCATCCGTCTAATGATGCCCCGCATTTCTCTCAGCACTACAAACATACAATTCGTATCTGCGCATCTGAACGCGATACTGCGAGGCGTTATGAATCTGCCTATAGTCGCTCCTCGACCAACTCCTGGCCAGGGCATCTCAGATATTAGTATCCCATGTTGAACCTCGCGCGCCATTAATACCCATCCCCTTCGCCTCCCTCCTTGCAGAATCCCTTCTTCTCGTACAGGATTTGCGCCTTGGCTTCTTCTCGTTGTTTTTTCATCTCGACGTCGTTCTTGTGGTACGGCTCGAGAGCGGCGTAGTCAACCTGTCTACGCAGAGGTATCTCATCCTCTAGATCGAGATCCTGCAGGAATATGAGTGGACGCGGGATACGTAGGGGCCGCTAAACGTGCAATTTCGCCCAGCAACACGACGTTTTCGCCGCGAATCAAGAACAGCCCGTGCCAGTTCTCCGCGAATGCGTTGCCGTGGTATATACGTTCCACGGTGTCCTCCAGTACGAGGTTAGCTGGGGCGTGTCGTTCGGTGAGCCGGAAAGAACATAGACGGCGGAATGCCTGTACCGAACTGGTCGTAGGACCGCAGGACGCCGTGAAGTTTTCTCCCGTCTCGCAAGACCACCAGCATCTTCCCTATTCAAGGGCGGTGGTGGGAATGCTCAGGATGACAGAAGTGCAGTTGACTTTGGTAGACGTACTGTCCACGCAATCCACCAGCGACCCAGACGTTGTGAAAGGTATTAACGAGTCCATGGCCAAACTGGCAAGACGGAGAGTCGACGGATCGGGACATCTTCTTTGGGATGAGTTTCCCACGACCGTCTCTTCGCGTTAAGTCTACTTACATCTTGAACTTCTCCTTGACTCGCCTTACTAGGTCTCCCGTCTCGTATTACTCGGCTGCAACCGTATTCTGCGATTGGTTCAAGAAGACCAACGCTTGTTCTGACCCAGCACACCGTTAACCAAGCGCCTACATTCCCAAATGCGTACTTCCATGCATTAACGTGCGTCTCCTCTGCAAGGGACGTTCTTTAACAGCAGCTCACTGACATACTTGGCTTCGCTTTAGCAGTGCTCTGAAGCGGGCATCGTTGTCAGGCGCGGAAGCCGGGGACATGGTTTCAACAGTTCTTTCTCACTTTTGTGAATCCCCCCCCCCCCCCCCCCCCCCCCCCCATCTCCTCGAACTTCTGGACACTGTTTCGATGTCCCAAATCGCTCTAAGTAGGTAAATCCCACGAAGCCACCATCGAATCTGGTTTCACCGCGTCTCAACTGCTACGCTGGAACTCTCCGCTATGGCACTATGGCCGAGTGGTTAAGGCGACAGATTTGAATGTCCAGCTGCTGCCCAAGCATCAGTTCCGATTCATTATCTGTTGGGATTTTCCCACGCAGGTTCGAGTCCTGTTGGTGTCGCTGTGATTGCCGGATTGGCTGATCCCTGGGCCATTATCTTTTGGTATGCAATGTGCCCCTGCTTCCTGGCTACAGCCCGAATTCACTTTCAAGAGATTCCGTGCAGAATTGCGTTCGTAATGCTCAAATTGATCGCGACCCCGAGACGGATCAAAAAAGTACGCAGCGCGGAACTGGGCTGTCCTTAGTTCATGATCTCTCATGAAGAAAGGTGCGCCTGCTGCTTGGTTACAATACTCATCTTGAATTTATGAAGATCCGTGCGAAATTGCGTTCGCAGTGCCTAAGTTGATCACGACCTCGAGGCGGATCAAACAAAAAAGCACGCAGAGCGAAACTGGGGCGTCCTTGGTTCATGATCTCATAGGGAAAAAGGTGCGCCTACTGCTTGAATACAATCCTCATCTTAAATTTATGAAGATCCGTGCAGAATTACCCTCGCAATGCTAGAAATTGATGGTGCCCTCGAGGCCGATGAAAAAAAAGCGCCCATACTTATGTACGGGGGCATCGTTGAGCTCCCTCGCTTCATTAAACAATTCTAAGCACAGAGAATCTGACTAGTATCCATGATTCCCTTTGAATTGCCCGAGAATCAGCAAGAACCTCATATCAATAGCGAACACACTCAGAACTTACAAGTCTACCGAATGAGACACACCAAGGGTCTCCGAACCGAGGTATTGTGCATCCACAACTATACAGACGCTATGCTGAAGAGAAACAAGAGGCAAGGGATGGTGAGGTTACCGCGAAGGGACTAGTTTGGGTTTCCAGACATTATGCAGAAAGTAAGGACCTGGCACCTGGAATACCGAGACGAGGACGTGAATGAGCATGACGTGAAATTCCCAGTTTACCTTGGGGGAGGCCCGCATTGGCAACGGGAACCGACCGTGCGCACTGCAGACTGGACAGGGACAAGGAAAAGTTGAGCTAGCCAGCACATCTTCTGGTGCGAATTAGTCTCATGTAAACAGTGAACGATCTGTGCTCGTACCTCGCATGTGGATGCGCTGAGGACGCGCGCGGAAGCGACAGCATTCACACATTCAAAAACATTGCAGAAATCCCGAATGAGAGGTGCCAGAGCAGCATGCAAAAACTTGAGCAAGAACAGGAAGCTGAGGCGGGTTTCCGGGAGGTTCGAAGGAGCGCGGCTTCGGGACGAGGACAAGCGGAAGCAGCTGGTCTTGGGCACACTCACAGGCAGCGAGTGCACAAGCTGGTTTACAGAAGATGCGCTGCACTGCTTACCCGGTGCCGATAGATGAAGAAGCGGCACTAAGCACAGTCGATGCGGGCTGTAGCAAGAGGGCACATACAGACGCGGTCCGGTAAGTAACGCGCGTTCTTATTCCGCAAATCAATTCAACGGGTATAATTGAGGGTTTGTGAGATTGGCACCCCAAGCAATCCAGCGAGCGAAGGCTGAGTGATTCATACCCGAAGGTCAAGCCTGACGTACGTACATCGTTCTACCACCAGAGAATCAAGATTCCGGAACATGCGCTGCCAGACCACTGGAAACCGCGATGTGCATCGGCTTAAACCATAACGGCGGAAGGGGGAGCCCTGGCTGTGCATGATGCGCAGTTCTCTGGAGGCACTTCAGGACGTTCTAGTGAGGGCGCTTGTTGTTCATTCATGTAAATACAAGCTCGTCAAATGAGCCAAGTCCACAGAAAGTCAATGGCGCGTCAGATAACAAGGTCAGAATTGCAGATTTTGGCTCGTCGACCACCAACTGGAGGCTGAGGACCACCGAATGTATAAAAGACATACGGCGCTAGGATCATTGCACGACGACCAATAATCTGAGATGGATTGGAGAGCATGGTGTGTTCAAGTTACCGCCGCTTCTCACCGCCAGAGATCCCCTGAGGTCGTTCCATGGTGCGCAAATAATGCTGAAGACAAACGGCACGCGGGCCGCCGGGACTCTACAGAAAACCGAACAAGATAATGGCAAGGCACGCGGCGTACGCAGGTTGTCCGTGCGACGGATGGTCCATTTGTAGCCGATGAGTGAGACTATGAAACAGCGGCCTCCCGGGGATTCGATGGACACACTCAGCAACAAGAAGAAACCCAGTAACAAGAGGAAAGCCAATGTGGATGTGTCTAGGGCCAGGGAAAGAACTGAGCCACAGATACGATAGCCTTTCCGCGGCATCATGTGTCCTGGCGATAAGCCGCAGTGACGAACGCGCTAGCACTATGGGTCGCATGCAGCGTTTGAAAACCCGCGCCTAAGTCAAGGGGAAAGAAAAGCAGGTGGAAACGCAGGGTATGAGGTGTGTGTAGAGCTCACTCGTGGGTCCGAGACCGAGTATTCTTCTCGTCTCTGGACCCGATTCTAGGCGGGCCAATGCATGGAGGTTATTGACGTTGAAGTGAAGACGAGGTTTGCGGCCTAAAAAATCCCGAAACGGCGTGTGGATTGACACAACTGGCGCCGGCGCATGTCTAACAAAGTCTCTCTGAGACTAGCAGGGCTTATCTCTGTAGCCCTTCGTAAAAGGAGGCGTTTCGAGTTCAGGGACGCGCACAGGCGGGCTCTTCCACAACGCCTCGACCCGCTCGTGTCTTGCAGGACATCCTGGATAAATATCGATAGTGAGGGCCGAAACGCCGCCAAACGCGATAGAGTTCATTTCAAAGCCAAGGTGCAACGTCGCTGGGTTTGGGCGTTCTAGTTTACATTCCAGGATGATCGAAGCCCAACGTTATGAGATATATTCCCACTGGCCAGGTGCTGGTTTCTCAGCAAGCGGCTCCCAGCTGAGGCTCATGTGAATAAAGCGTGAATGAGGAGATACGGTGCGACGCACGCCTTCCAGTCGACCATCTGGGCCGCGAGTTTGAGCTCGTCGACTGCAATGAGCAGTGACTCCTCGATGACGCCCTCGTCTAGCCCCTTCTCCGCGGCGGCGATGTCTGCGTTCGCGGCCTTGACGATGTCTAGTTTGTTTTGCACGAGGGCTTCTGTTGCCTGGCGGTAGACGGATGTCTGTGGGATGCGCGCGAGCTGTGCGAGGGTGTTCTGGTATGTGAGGGCGAGGGCGGGGAGCGGATCTGGGTGTACCCCGAGGCCTGTGAGGCCAGTGGTGGACCTGAGCGCCTGGAAGAGTGGGCGCGTTAAACGAAACATTGTGTATTTGGTCGATATTTGGCGCACATCCGGCTCTCTTTCCTCAACGATGGCAGCGCTGGCCGTCCACGGCGCACTGCCGCTATTCAGGAGGCCATTGGTGGCGCGCCCGCTCCTGGCCCACCCGTTGCTCTCGTCGCTGTTCTCCACGCCATTCTCGACGCCGATGGCATTTACGGCCGTCCCCGCCTTCCTCGCAGCATCCCGCACATGGGCTATCCCCTCACTCCAGTCCCTGCTTGAGCTCTTCCCACCATTCGTTCTTGCCGTGCCCAAGAAAAAGGTCTCGCACTCGCGAAAATCTATGCGCGAGGCAAACAAGGGCCTGAAGGACAAGCAGAGTCCGTCGCGCTTTTTTCTCTGCCCGATCCAACCCTGACGCGACGCAGACATCGTCAATTGCCCTGGGTGCGGCGCCCCCAAGCTGGCGCACCATCTGTGCAGCCATTGCTTTTCGTTCCTCACCAAAATGTGGAAAACAGCGAAATCGGCCGCCACCCCGTAAAAATACTCGTTGTCCCTGGTTCAGTCGAGCTCAATGCGATGTAATGTTGCTACATGCGCTGTACATATTGCGAGAATCTACTTAATCCTATAATTTCGAGTGCTCGCACGCTTTCGCTTCCATCGGGAGAACGTAAATCCGCGGTGTGCTTTAAAGCTGGTCACCGGGCTGGGACGACTCGGAACGCCGACTCCCACAACAGCACCCATGTTGGCCAGAAGACTCTTGTCTCGTACAGTAATGCGCTCAGCCAGTACCCATGCCCCCCTCGGCGTCGCCGCTGTTCTCAAGAAGAATCCCGATGATGTGGTCATCACTTTTGCCCAGCGAACTGCCATAGGTCGCGCGAAGAAGGGCCAACTCAAAGACACCACGGTCGACGAACTCTTGCATGCCTTGCTAAAGGTAACTTGGTTGTACGGATGCGTGAATCTCTCGCCAATATTGTTTAGGCCACTCTGGAGAAGACCAAGCTCGATCCGTCCAAAATTGATGACATTTGCGTTGGTAAATCCAGCGTTTGATATCATACTACAGGTCGTTCCTCAACCCGGAAACAGGGACGTGTCACCCTCCATCGCCGCTCTACGTTTCCAGAGCGGCGGCGTTAGCAGCCGGTATCCCGAACTATGTGCCGATCTCGACTGTGAACCGTCTATGCTCCTCTGGCTTAATGGCAATCCGCAGTATTGCACACGCCATTCAGTCTGGTGAGGTGTCTCTTGGTCTCGCTATTGGCGTCGACAGTATGAGCAAACAGTATGTCTTGATCTTTGCAGCTACGTTTGCGTGTTTACTGTCTCCACCAGTGCCCGCCCCACGCCCGAAGTATGCGAAGAAGTGGACAAGAACGCAGAAGCGCATGACTGCATCCAGGTATCGAGGTTCCGCCGTCGTCATTCGACACGGCGTTGAAAATATCTACAGCCAATGGGATGGACATCTGAGATGGTAGCGCAAACCTACAAAATCTCGCGCGAAACGCAGGATAAATATGCACTCATCTCGCACACACGCGCGAATGAAGTACGCTTGCAATCTTGAAGGATTTCTTAACGCTAACATGCGGTTCAGGCCCAAGCCAACGGAATCTTTGCTGACGAGATCATCCCTGTTGAGCTCAAGGGCAGTACTCTGTCGGTTGACGACACTATCCGACCTGGCGTCACGATGCAGTCGCTGGCCTCCCTTAAACCCGTGTTTCCGGCTTGGGGCGAAGCATCTACGACCGCGGGAAACGCAAGCGGTGTCGGTGACGGCGCAGCCATCTGTATCATGACCACCAGAGAGCGCGCCGAGAAGGAAGGGATGGAGATTCTGGGCAAGTGGGTAGCCACTTCT